CAGAATCCTCCAGATCTAGTAGTAATGCGGCCTGGGCGTTGTCTATCTTCTCTGTTTGGCAGAAAGAAGGGACTGTGAGTCTCCTGCCTCAAACTATGGGCTACTGTGCCCCTCTCACCTCCCACTAAAGGCTAGGAGAGGGGCTGGGCTGTGATGGTTAAGGGAAAGGAGGAACGGGTATGGCAGAGGAGAAGCCAATCTTTGGATCCTCTCGTAGAATAAATAATACCTGCTTTCTTCTAAAAAAGCAATTTTAAATAAGAATGTTTAAAAGACGGACTAGAGAGCTACCTGAGGGCTTAAGAGCACTGGCTCACTGGCTGCTTTCATAGCAGACCCAGGCTCCATCTCCAGCACCCACATGGCAGCAGCTCACGGGCATCTGCGACTCCAGTTCCACGGGGTCCAGTGCCCTCTTCTGTACTCCTCGAGCACTGCGTGTGTGTGGCACACACAAAATACTCATACACATAGCATTAATAATAGAAAAGTAAAGTGTTTAGCAGACTGCAAAGCCAAGGGGCTGTGGGAATAGAACATGTTCACTCCTAACTCCAAAATACCTGCATTAGCAGTGGCCAGATGGACTCTGTATGATCTGAAGGACAAGAGTGTCTACGGGCGCAGTGTTAGTCTTAGTGGCACTACTGAAGAAACAAAATCGCAGTGAGAACACACAGCTGGTCCTTATGTGGTGTGTGGCCCATAGCAGGTTTCAATATATCTTCAATATATTTGGATGGATGGACAGATGGATACGTGAGCCAAAGTCAAAATCCTTTAGTTACAGTGAAGACTACCCCTAGAAAACTGACCTCCTGCACCCTGGTCTCTGGAAACTAGCCTGCACGCATCATGCTGAATGCCTCATCAGCTACTTCTCAGTCTTCATGACAGCCCACCAATCCCACCTGCTACAGCTCTGACTCTGTCGGAGCACCATGTCACTGCCATGGTTCAAGCCTTGGGCAATTCTCTTCTGGATGCCTGCACCACATCCAAACTGCTCTCCAAGACTCCAATCTGTATTTGTGAAGTGCTTCTTGAGCAAGCATGAGGGTCCGAGTCCAGATCCCTAGCTCCTACACAGGGAAGCAGAGACTGGCTGATGCCTGGAGCTTCTTGGCCAGTCAGTCTGGCCAAAGCAGTGACCTCTAGATTCAGTGGGAGGCCCTGTATTAAGACATAGGTGGAGAACAATGGAAGAAGACTCCTGACATCACTTTCTGGCCTCCACACATATACTTACTGCAAATACACACTACCTGCACACACACACACACACACACACACACACACACACACACTCACACAAACACATACACAAACCAAACACACTCCAGAGCCCTTACAAAGGATCAGGTCATTAATGTCATCATCCTGCCCTCATTCCCCCCCAGGGATGGCCTGTGACTCCCTGTGGGCCTCATGGTCAAGCCCAAACACTGGCATGTCCAACCTGCCTCTCCAGCTATGGCTAGCCAGCCCCCTGCCCCACCTCTACTTGAGTTCTCTGTCCTCTTGGCACTTGCTCTGACCCATTTCCTGGGGTTGTGGTTTGGATGTGGCTTTGTTCCAGGTTGAGAGGAAGCAGGGGCTTTAAGGGACCCTTGGATCATAAGGGACCTGCCGTCATGAAGGATCAGGGGAGCTTACTCAAGAACGAGTTCGTTTCTGTGAGGGGTTGTTACAGAACGAGCGCAGTTCCTCAATTTGCTTTTGCTTCCTCTCTCCACACACACTCCTGCTTCTCCTTTTCGCTTCTTTGCCACGCGATGACAAGGTGCAAGGCCTTGTTGAGCCAGTGCCTTGTTCTTGGACCTCCAGCTAAATAAACCTCTTTTCTTTTTAAGCTGACCAACTCTACGAGTTTTGTTATAGCAATGGAAATGAGATGAAGACTCCCGGGCCTCCTCCTCTGCCTGGAGTGTTTGCCCTTTATTTTCCCTGCTCCCTTACATTCTTCTGAGCCCATTAGGAACATCATCCTACCCTAAAGACACTTGCCCTGACTGTTTCTCAGCCCATTAAGAACTGAGTGCCCTTCCTTCTGTACACCCCAGTGCTTAGCCCATCACAAAACAGCCTGCTTCCCTATCCTCTTTACAAGGTGCCTGGTTCACGAAACTCTGTATTCTGTTCTTTGTTGTCTGCCATACACTCCTCTCCAGTCTGTGACAAAATGAATGTGCGCTGCGCTAATTTTTTTTTTATTTTTCATTGTGTTTATTTGTAGAAGTGGATGCAAATGCACTACGGTGCATGTATAAAAGTCAGAGAACAACTTTTACAACAGCATGTGGGTTCCTGGAATCGAACTCGGGTCATCGGGCTTGGTGGCAAGCGCCCTTGCCCACTGATCCCTGGCTCCAACCCCTTATAAATATTTTGTTCCACATCAAACATGTGGCTCAGCTTCTCAGAAGCATATTTGTTGTCTCTGACCAACCACATGACCAGTCCAGAGAATTAACTCGGGATTAGGATGTGGTCTATGACTCTTGAAAAAAAATGTATTAAATTAGATATGAGGGGAACAAATTTTTAGCCAAAAGTCAAAACACATGATCTAACAAATATGACTGTGTATTTTCCTCCCCAGCACATATAAATGCATAAAGCCTACAGCTACCCAGCCAGGAAAGTCTGTCATTTTTGCCTTACTGTGTTGTCCACATACACCAGGGGACGCCTGTAAAAGAACAGCGGCTAAGAGTGAGGGGCATCTTCTCATTCAGTCCTCTCTACCTTCCTGAGAAGCAGATCTTTCTCCTTCGCTGTTTTACAGCAGAGGAGAGTGAGATTTAAGAAGATTTAACCTCCTGTCAAAGGTCACACAGCCCTCCGTGGTTGGGTAATCCAGTCGGTCCCGTCACTCTGCCGTACTGGCCTAGTAGCGACCTCTTAACCTTGTTAGACCTTCAAAAGAGCCACTTTGGGGCAAAAATAGCCACGGCTTCCGGAAATTTTTATTAAAACTCTAAATCTCCAGGCAATAACTTTCAGAAGTCATGATTCAGACCCGCAGTGACGCTAGGCAACAGGCTCGCAGGCCGAGTCTCCTGCTGCAGAGCTGTGTCTCTTGCTGCAGAGCTGCGTCTCCTGCTGCAGAGCTGCGTCTCCTGCTGCAGAGCCGCGTCTCCTGCTGCAGAGCCGCTAGGAATGCCGAGAGGGAACGCAGGACCCTGGAGTTTGGCACCACCTGCGTTTCCCGTCACTGGGTCTCCAGCCACCACTGCCTGTTGAAAGGCACTGTCCTCCCGTTTCTCTGAGGAGTCCTCTCCTTCAGGTTCAATAGTTCCATATTTGTCAACAGTTTTACAGCTTCTGCTGCACTGGCCCTGTCCTCCAGCCATAAGTATAATGATCATCTGGACACCCATAAAAGTCCAAGCTCCTGGACTCTGCTCCACAGCTGTCAGAGTCTACAAATCAAATGCTGGCCCCAGCCTTTCAACCAGTTCCCCGGGGGATTCTGAAGGATGCTGCCACCCGAGAACCGGAGGTGGAGCCCTAGTCCTGGAACCAGCAGCATCGACGGCATGTTAGAGACTGGCAGTCAGGGATTCCACCATGAATGACTAACCCAGAACCTTCATCTGAACGAGATCCCTGGGTGAGATACAACATACACACTCTTCTGTGCAGAGGAACGGTCGTGTGGGACAGTGCTCTGCCCTCAAATTTTCCCCACAGTAGCATGCATAGGATTGAAAAGGCAATGACTCAACACAGCCCTCCATGAGCACTGGCCTACAGCACTCCGGAAGCTTCTCGGGGGTTTTTATGAAGTCACGTGACCTACACTTTCCCCAACCTGTCATTTATTCTCACAAAGATCAAGAGTCAGACAGGCCGTTGCCCAACAAACTAGAGCTTAGAAGTCTTCATCGGGTAGTAAAATGCAGCCTTGTATTCCAGTGCTAGGTGAACTACCGGAGAACTACAGAAAGCATGGTTGGTGGGCAGATGAGTCAGCCACTATGCCCTGGAAGAAACTAGAGCCTCCCTCCTCTGAAGAACACTCTTTCTCCCTGTCTGCAGAGCTCGGGATTAGTGACAGTCGAGGAGGCTTCCTCTGTCTTGAGTGCCAAGAAGAATGTCATTTTGTTTAATCCTTTCTTAGCAAAATCTGTCTGCCTGTAAGCTGGACAGGTGTTCCCTCTCTCAGCCCGCTCGTTAATGGGATGACAGTTGGGGTGGAAGAAATGGGGTCCTGAAAGGACATTTCCTGAGGAGACCGTCTCAGCAAACCACAGAGTATCGGGGACCCCACCTGACTCTGAAAGGCCCGATTCATAAGCACCCAAGTGATTTTTATTCCTCTCCATCCCCTGCAGAAAACGTTGAAACTTTGTAAAGCTCAGATTGTCAAGCAAATCCTCTCTAAAGAAGAGCTGAGCAGCCTGTGCAAATACACCTGGGAAGACAGTGGCCATGGCTCCCGAACAACCCATCTTTATTCCTTTTCTTTCTGTATCTGCACCGGTTCTGCCACTCTGCTTCCCCCAAACAGAAAATGGACAGAGCACCATGGACGGGGTCTGGTTTGGTCCAGAGTTTCCCCCGTCTATCCAAAGACTGCATATCTCCTAAGTCCCAAAAGGCTGCGTGGTCTCTGCTCTCTGCATTGATGTTTAAACAACAGTAAGCAGGGCATGCTGTCATTTGCTCCCTCGAGCTGACTTTCTCCCACAAGGCTCCCTGATGCAGCTCCAGAGGAGAGCATGCCTTTCCCGCTCTAAACAGGAAGCTTGGGGTACAATTAGCAGTTCACCCAGAGTCCATGATGTCTAACACAAGAGCAGATTTCTTCAGTTTCTGGCAAAAACATGTTGATAAATTTTCTATTCCTTGATAATCCAATTGACAAGTGTTGCAACTTAAGATTAGAGAATTTGGGGGCTCGGGCCACATGGGCCAAAGAGCAGAGCTATTTTCTCGGGACCAATTCAAATACAGACTATTGACTGAAAATGTCTCTCTGCTTCATGATCCAGGATGAAGAACAAGCTGTGGTATTTTGAATTTGGCACCTCGGAGACCTTTGCAGCCACCTGCAAGAAGCTTCATGACCACATAGAGCTGGAGGTAAGTCCAGTCTCCTTCACAGAGACTGCCCTGTCCCCAGATGTCTCCACAACCTCACTTAGAGGGCTCCAGTTGTTGCTGGCTTCCTTCTTACCCTGTGCAAGTGAATCCTCGCGTTTCTGGGATTCTGCAGTCACAGCCATTCTGGCGGTGCATTCCCACTTAAAGAGACAGGTACCACCAAACAGACAAGGGAAGAAGGCTGTTGCCGGGGTTACTGTGGCCTTGGCACAGCAAAGGTGGTGCTGCTGGGCTGAGAACTGATCAGAGAGCATCCTCCAACTCACCTGCCCCAGAGCTGACTCACAGGGTGAGTGCAGTGGGTGTGTGGCCTGTGCCCTGCTCCTGTGATCTGAAGAGAAGCTTTTGTCACCATCTAGAAGTTCTAAATACTTTTTTTTAACAAAGAGCCGCGTGTTTTCAGTTTGAACTGAGCCCCACAATTACGCGGCTCACCGCGCTTTCCCGAGGATTTTCAGCGCCTGTAGCAGCCTGCCTCAGACAGTTTGCCTGTTGGCGCCCCTTGCCTGGTTGGTGAGCTTGCCTGCTTCCTCCCCCACTTTTGCAGTGCTGCTCTCCTGGAGTCTCCTCGTGGACTGCTAGGAGCATGCCTCTGGCCTATCAGAGACCAGATTTCTATGCAACCATCTGTCTTCACTCCCTGGGCCTCTGCCCATGGATTCCTTGCCAACAATCCCACCCTCTCTGTGCATTCAGGCCTGCAGTCTGCTTTGCACCTGAGGGGGAAAAAAAAAAAACATATTCAAGCAGGTGAGGAAATCTCCTATCATCCCCCGCCCCAATCCTGGAAAAAAAAAATGGGTCTAGAAGCTGCTGAGCAATGAGCCTCTGTTGAGGCCTAGCCACCCCTCCATAGGATTAAGCCTGTGGCAGAGTGGGAAGGTCCTGCCACTCCTTGATGGAAGGGAGGCTGTGCCCATGCTCACAGGGAGTGTTCACAAACAAAGCACACAGCCAGAGCTTCCACAAGGCTCTCCTTGACTCATCTGTGGGCCTCTCCTTTTTGGTTGCTGGGTTACTGACACCATGGGGGGAGGCACCTTTCTGCCAGTTTGGCCATAGGGCACAGAGGTCCAAAGGCCAAGAGCCTGTGTTTCCAAGTGCTACATGGCGGAGGCCACCTATACCTGGGAGAAGCTGACCTAAACACAGGGCCTGGGAGCTGGAGCTGCAGGAGCTGCAGGAGCTGAGCGTGGCAAACAGAACTGTGTGCATTCTTCCGCTTGGCACCGCCCTCCACTGGGGTCTCTTTAAATACACTGCCAGTGAGGGACAGCCCTGCCTAACCGCGGCCAGCTGCAGACACACAGCAAGTCCTTGTTCTCCCCGCAGCTGGCCTTGACACTGTGCCCAGAATACAGGAGCTCAGCTCCCCTGCCTCTCTGGACCGCCCCACTGGCTCCAGGCTGGCCATGCCCGACAGTTCCCTCGGGGTCCAGGACACAACCGGCACTTCCTCAACCACACAGGGAATTGGTGGCCTCGGGAGGGAGTGGGCTGCCAGGCTGTGAACTGTTGAGAGCTTTAAGAAGCACTTCCTGTTTCCCTCATCTCTTCATGAGTCTTTTCGGCATGTATTCAGGAGAGAGAAGCTTTGGGAGTCAGGGCTAGGATGTCATGTGACAGAGGGCTGGCAGTGGATTAGGACAGGCACCATTTCTGCATCCAGAGGACAGTGTTTGAGGGTCCCGGGGGGTATGATCAGGAGGAAACTCTGAAAGACAGCGTGTATGGCAGGTGAGTGGCAGGTGTCTGGAGGCTCAGGAGCTTGGGGAGGAACATGTACAAGAAGCCAGGGTGGCTGCTGTGATTCACAACAGCGCAGGGCTCACCAGCTGCTGTCAGCCAACCTGGGAAGACTCCGATCAGACACTACCGCCTTCACTATTTCCTAAACCACAAGAGCAGGGAGTCATCCCATGACATGGAAACGCAAGCTGAGCCTGGGAGGGTTAGGGGAGTAAAGAGAGAGTAAAGAGAGAGGAGGGGAAAGTTAAGAGGGGACAGAAAAAGTCAGAGCTTCAACTGCCGGCCAGAACCTGTCAGTGTAACAATACAAGCCAGGGAGACAAACATTGTTACGTTCTGAAATAAGGCTCCAATGCATCCAGTAGCTCAACCAAGAGTTCTTTGCCAAAACTAGAAAGGGAAGATCCCAGGTGTTTTGGAGTAAATTGGGCTTGGAAACTAATAACCAAATTTATCCACCAAGTGTTCAAACTCAGCAAATCCTCCAGCCTTGGCACAGTGTCTTCCTGCTAGGCACGCACGTGCCTGCGTGCGTGTGTGTACATGTGCATATGTCTGTTTATGTGCATGTGGGTATATGTGTGTGCATGCATATGTATGTGCCTTTGCAAATGTGTGTGCATGTGTGTATGCATGTGTGTACACATGTGTGTGCATGCATGTATACAGTATGTGTGTGCATATCTCTGTATGCATGTGTATGTAGCTGCATAAGTGTGCATGGGGTTCTGATGCATGTTTGAACGTGCGTATGTGTGTTCTGGACTGTGAAACTCCCTCTCAGCTCAGGCCCGTACCACCCTTCTGAGGAGTGCTAGACACAGTCTGAGCACCCATCTGAGGAAAGGAGGAACAATTCAGTATAGGAAAAATTGGAAGACTGTCCCAAAATTTACAACTGTTGTTCCTCACACAGCACCTCAGCTCCCCTGGCTGACAGAACACGAGTGGGCATTCATGCCTCAGTTAGCAGATGGGGAACTCTGAAGCTGAGGGCTCAGAAACCGAGAAAAGTCTCAGCTGTGAGGGCACAGGGAGAGGCTGATCGGGACAGTGAACAGGCTAGCGCTACTGGTGACACTGGTGGTGAGGACCTTTCGCCACTGGGCAGTGGACAATGTCATCCCCTCACTGGGGAGCAGAGCCAGCGAGTCTGACTGAGTCGGACTGCTCCGTGTTCTGTGACAGTCTGCCCCACAGAGTGAGGCAGAGGACGACTGTGGAGGTGCCTGACCACCTCTGCCCTCCTCACACATGCGTGGGCACACATGTGCATAACAAAACTACACATACCACACACACTAAGTTGCATACATACACATATGAAGTTTGAGCGGCTACATTAAAAGGCTAAGTGGCTCAGACATGGCTTTCTTTCAGAGCTGGAGCTAGCTGAGGAGAAATTGGAAACTTGGTCCCATCTCTGACGTAAAGTTCACGTGATTGGCGAGACTAGTCCACAGAACAGGGGGAGCGTGTTAATCAAAAGCCCACTTAACTAGTGCTGAGAAACCAAACGAGAAAGGTCAGTGGAACCTGTTTGAAGAGCCCAGCCCCATGCCTCAGGCAGGGGAGAGAGAACACCCCCACCCCTCCCCCCCACCCCGGGGATTCACTGCTCACCTGAAGACACCTAGAGGCACTAGAATCGTGAGGAGTCTGGACTGAGGTTCATGGGACTGTCACCCGTGTTCTGCCATTGGTGTCAATGACTTAACTGAGCTGGGTGTCTGTGTCTCCCCTGTATTTCACCCACAGAACAAGGCGGCAGGCAGCCTCGTTCCTAACAACATTAGTGTAAGTTCCCAGGGTTTGGGGCAGTTGTTCTTAACTGGCAGCGATGCTAAGTCTCACAGAATCTACAAAGCAGTCCTACGTGGCCAGTGGCCTAAGTATGTTTTTGAAGCGGGAAGGCAGGATGAGGAGCAGTTGGATTTCACCCACTAGTGCAGCCTAGCTGACCTGACTCAGGCTTGCATCTGATTGGCCTGGGAGCTGAGGGCCCGGAAGCAGTAGTAAGAGGTTTCTTGGGGAGGGAGGTTCAGTGTGTGTCCTGTATGTTGATTACTCGCTACGTTATTCCTTCTGCTCTGCCTGATAAATTTAAGAACAGGCACGAAGAGATACGCTTATCAAAAGGGAGCATTAAGAAATACATGACAAGGAGCCGTAGGTGTGCATCTGAATGGTGTGTTCAACAAGGATGCCGGCTTGTGAGTGCAGCCCTGCCGCCGACGAGGCCAGCCCTGTTCCCAGGCCGATTCTCAGAGCTGGCTTCCAAGAGGCCCTTTATAGTTGTTCTAACCTGATTTCACCTGAATAAAGCAGTGGAGAGGGGAGAGGAGGTTGGCGTGAGGAGGCGCACTGAGTCACCGCCCCCACCTTAGGCCCAGAATAGCCTTGCCAAGGATCTTAAAGGTTTTCAGAGCTAGCTGGGGCGAAGCAGGCAGGCTTCAACTGGAGGATTCATCTTGCATTCCATGGCAGTTTATTTTGTTTTACAAGTTAAAAATAAGAAATCCCCCAGTTTGTTGGTATTTAATCTAATCTTTGAGGTAATGTCCACAAGAAAAGGCTACCACCTTCAGGACAGATGGGAAGGGCGTCCAGATCTAGAAGCTGCTCAAAACACTGTTAGCCAGAGTACGTGGGAGGGATGGCTGTGCACCAATGACTCTAGTAGTGAGGGAAGTAAATCTATTTCCTGCTCATTCAATATTTATCAATATCACATCATTCCTTTAAACGGTTTTTGATCAAAGAAATAGTATAGGTAAAACTGAAGTGCCCCCCCCCCGTCTGCCTTCTTTTTTTAACACACGCATGCACGTGTGCACTTGGTGGAAAGAGAGAACGAAGTCCTACAAGCCATTCTCTGACCTCCACTCTAGTGCTGTGGCTCACACACACACCACACACACACACACACTGCAGTTTAAAATGTAGCTAGCTTGAATCAGCTAGCTAAAGGGATCTATCTGCCCAATCTTCAAAGTGACCTGACTCATGATTTACAGAGGTTTTTGTTTTAAACAAGTCCTTATGATGTAGCTGTTTGGATGGGTACTCACTGTGTAGCCCAGGCTGGCCTCAGACTTGCTGAGAGCCTCCCGAGTCCTGGGATGACAGGCTAGTCCACCACACTCTGCTTTATGAAGCTTCTTTACACACACAAGCTATGTTCCGAGAATTTAGGATTTTATATGCAAGATCCCGGTCATCCACTGGGT